GTCTCTGAGTCTGCCTCCTGCTTGTGTCTTTTATGTTTCCACGGAGCTGCAAACTAGATGGTCCCACTCTGACCTCTGGGCTTCCTGGCTCCTGGATCTCTAGGGAGGCCCTAATCTAGCCTTTGCCTGAAGCTATCCAGTAAAAGCCTCCCTGCAGGGCCTGGATGGGGCGGGTCCCACGGGATCAACAGGGCGAGGCAGGTCCCATGGGATCAACAGGGTGGGGCTAGCAGTTATGGCTGCTCTCAGTCTTGCCCTCAGAGGCTCTGCTTCTCAGTGTCCCGGTAATTGCTGTAAACCCCACGGAGAGAAAGCTGCCCTCAAGTTCTCAACCGATGCCAGACAGTCCCGCTTCTCCCGTATGAGTCTGGGTCCCTAGAGACTCGCCCGGAACTGGAGCTCAGAGCCTGAGACTCCCTCCCAATTGAAAACGACAACTGGGCCCTCAGCCACCAGCCCGCTCAGCATGCACCTCCATACCTTAGTATTTTACTTCTGTACTGCGCCTCCTCTGAGTCTTGGGATGCTTTTCTCTTTCCTTCTAGTTGTAGAATTTCCACTCAGCCAGCCTTCCTTTGGTTCTGGATGATGTCCGTTCCGTCTTTTAGTTGTATTTTTGAAGTGGTTGTTCGAGGCAGCAAACTCTGCTGTTTACCTATGCCGCCATCTTGGTTTTTCCTCCCAGTTTTCTTTTTGTAATTTATTTTTAAACTTGTTTTAAGTAGGTGTTAATTGTTTCATTAGGCTTTTGAAGGAAAAAAAGGATTCTGTTTTTTTTTCTTTTCCTCTAGGTATATACCTCCCGATAAGAGAGAAGAAAATGACCAATCAACCCACAAATGGATGGTGTATGTCCGAGGGTCTCGTAGAGAACCCAGCATTAATCATTTTGTCAAGAAAGTTTGGTTTTTCCTTCATCCCAGCTATAAACCAAATGACCTTGTGGAAGTTAGGTAAGCATACTTGAGTTTAAAGAAGTGCAGATTTATTGAAGTGGAAGAAAAGTGATTTAATTTGAAAACACTCCCTTGAAATCTTTTCTTCCCTCCTCCCACC